CATAGGATTTCATAAAGGTAGCCCTTGTTTTCTTTCTTCTCGCCCATGTACTTTCACGGTTATAGGTGGCGCTGCACGTTGCGTTGTTACTCTGAAGAAGTTAAGAGTTAACACCTCAAAATTATTAATTGTGCTAATAGTCGGCAATACTTTCATTAGCAATTCTAGTTAATTTGAATTAATTAAATGAATGAATGAATGAATGAATGAATGAATTGATGAATGATTGATTGAATGAATGAACAAATAAATAAATGAAAAAATGAATAAATAAATAAATAAATGAATAAAGTAAGAAATTAGGAAATAATTGATAATAAATAAATAAATAAATATACAAATAAACAAAAATTGAATGCTTGAACAAACGAACGAACGAATAAATAAATGAATAAATGAATAAATAAATAAATAAATAAATAAATAAATAAATAAATAAATAAATAAATAAATAAATAAATAAATAAATAAATAAATAAATAAATAAATAAATAAATAAATAAATAAATAAATAAATAAATAAATAAATGAATGGATGGATTGATGAATGAATGGATAGTTTGATGGAATCAAGCAGGAAACCCCTTTTCTTAAACCAGTTACAATGGCAGTATTCATTCATCGTTGTAATTCTAAGAGATTTCCAGCGCCGCAACAAATATCTTTTGGCACGTTCACGCGCGCGCGCGCACACACAATGTTGTTAAAATCTGTCTCACCGCATAAGCCGCCCTTGCGTAGCATTCTAATACAGCAATGCGGAAGAATATAAGTACAGAACTAGTCCCAGATTTCTATTCGTTTTTGCAATAGATTTGCAATTAAGCTAATGTAAGCAATGTATAGAGCTATTCAACTTTGATAGTTGTCAATATGGGCAGTATACATAATAGCCGCAATACCCAGTTTTAAAAGATTCGTAACGTCAACTGTAGCAGTGACCTTAACACGACCTTGCTTGTTTCACGTAAAGAAGCACTCTGGAAACTATTTATTAAATAGTAACTCAGCACTGTGTCTGTACCTTTCGTGTCGAAATCTTATAACGTGCGCAAATCAGTCAGTCAATACTTCCTGATTAAATTAATTGATTCAGGTTCGACCCAACGCGAAATTTCGCTTCCCTGCAGAATTCTATTATACTACCGATTACGACAGCTTGCGAGAGTCCCTGTAAATGAAACAGTCATTTAATTATATATTTTAGATATCTCTGTGGAGTGCGACATGGAGAGGAACAGAATGGCCGTGACCTTGACGTTCGAGCGAGACTTTGACGGCATCCTGTACACGAAGGGTTTCTTCAAGATTGACGAATGCCGCCACACGGCGCCACCGTCTCGATTCCAGAGGTTCGACATTTCGCTGGACAAGTGTGGCATGCAGCAGAAATCATCGGTAAGTGATCATCACGTGGCGTGGATATCGCAACATCTTCCCAATGACGAAGGCCGATGATAACTAATATATGATATGATATATATACTCGCAGCTTCGTGGCGACACAAATGTTTTAAACTGATTCTAGCATTAGCTCACCGCAAACCCCAGCAAATTGTTATTACTATTTACATAAAATAATGGCAATAAAATTTATGAATTTCGAAATTATTCTCTGAAATTTTTCTAGCGAATATATATAGAGATTTTAAGAGATTTTTTTTTATAGATTTTTATAGAGATAATAGTTTATAGTTTCATAGAATAACTTTTGTCACCAGCGTGTCGGCTGGTAACTTTTGTCATGAGCGTGTAGGCTGGTAACTTTTGTCATGAGCGTGTAGGCTGGTAACTTTTGTCACCAGCGGGTAGGCTGGTAACTTTTGTCATGAGCGTGTAGGCTGGTAACTTTTGTCATGAGCGTGTAGGCTGGTAACTTTTGTCACCAGCGTGTAGGCCGGTAACTTTTGTCATGAGCGTGTAGGCTGGTAACTTTTGTCGGTTACTTGCAGACGGACAACTTTGGCGGCACGTCTTCCTTTGCCAACACCGTTGTCGTCATGAATGAGCTGGAGTGGGGAGTCCTGGAAATGTGGGACAAGGCATACCGAGTCACGTGCGACTTCGGCGGGGACAGAGCTAACACCGTGGACTACGGCCTCCAAGTTCCGTGAGTGTGCTGCTAAGTAGGAGCAAACTCAAGAGTCGGGCAAGAGTTAAACAAAAAAGTTAATCAAACACAGTTAGAGTACGCTCTCCCCCCCCCCAAGTTCCGTGAGTGTCCTGCTAAGTAGAAGCAAACTCAAGAGTCGGGCAAAAGTTAAACAATACAATCTTTCACATTTATACTACGACTGATTGACGATTACGTTGATTTTACGCTTGAAATAAGCGGATTTGATAATAACCTGCATGATTTTGATGAAATCACGCCGGAAAGGCTACCAAGCCACGCCGAGTCAATACTCTGGACTCTTGATTGTAAAGGTGATTTCACTTGCAGCAATCTGGATACGGAGAATGTCGCTGGACTGATGGCGATGCCATCTTGCCGCATGAAGGTTGTCAGTGGAGACAACCCAATGCTGCCAGGCACTAACGATCTCTTCTTGGGCGACATTGCAACACTAGTAATCTACATCCAGGAAAGCAGTAAGTATATAGCATGCAGTTAAGCGCGACACACATACGCACGCACACATGCACGCACGGGCACGCACAAAATCAATCACTATTTATCGATAAGTCGAGTTAGGAGCCGGGTAAGGTAATCATTACGGTACCATCTCATCCCTTCACATCAATAAACATGTTGGACTTGTTTTTACCGTCTTTAACAGTGTGACCTCTGTATTTTTCAAAGAGCTTTAATCGCGAGCAAACGCCTAACTTTAACATACAATGCAAACATGTGACTACAACATATAGATAAGTTAAAACTGCTGATTTGCAACTAATAATTAAAACTAATAATAACAACTTATCATACAAGCTAATGATAACAACTTATCATTCAAGCTAATGATAACAACTTATCATACAATCTAATGATAACAACTTATCATACAAGCTAATGATAACAACTTATCATTCAAGCTAATGATAACAACTTATCATACAAGCTAATGATAACAACTTATCATTCAATCTAATGATAACAACTTATCATACAAGCTAATGATAACAACTTATCATTCAAGCTAATGATAACAACTTATCATACAAGCTAATGATAACAACTTATCATTCAATCTAATGATAACAACTTATCATACAATCTAATGATAACAACTTATCATACAAGCTAATGCTACGCCTGATTATGCCGTTGTACGTTTAGCACGGACTCGCGCCTCTTAACCAGCGGGTACGCGTTGTCTAACCTGCGAACCGCGAACCTGCGCAAACAAATACACCACCAAATCACCGGTGATCCCCGAACGCACGCTACCGCTTCAAACCTCTTACCCATAATTTAACCGCGGTTGAATTGTTTTTACCGCGGTTAAATTATGTGTAACAAGGCCTCTGATTGGATAAAACGGCAATAATTTAACCGTGGTCATGACAATTTATCCGCGGTTAAATTATGTATAACACGACCTCTGATTGGGTAAAAGGG